CGATGGGCGGGGGAGGGGTGGGGGGGGGCGGCGAACGGTGCCGATTTCAAACCCGTCGATGCTAAATACCCCCTTGCGCCCGTCCACCGCCGCCGCCACCACCACCACCCCCCCCCACGCCCCTAGTTGCGCGTTTGCGCGTAGCACCGCGCCCGTTTCGTCCGTCTCCCACGTCGTCTTGCACTACCGCGTTTTATCGCGCGCGACCGGGACCGCGGTAACGACGACAATATTAACGATCCGCCGCGGCACGGACGGTTTTCGTGCGTGCACGCAACCCGACCCGACCTATGCGTAACGATAATGCGCGCGCGAAACTATATATTTCCCCCCGACCCCCCGCGCGCGCGCGGAAATGATACGATATTTAACGATATCAAAACCTGCCGGGGTAGGGTGGGGGGGGCGAAGGGGGAAATAAAATATTATGGTTTATTTATGCGAAACGTATACGCGACGGCGGCGGCCGGAAAATACACCGTTAACAACGCCGGCCGCCGCGAAATCGCATTTCGTTATCCGGGCTCGATTCGCAATACCCCGTCATATATCGTCCGCCGTCGGCCCGTTTTGTGCCGGGCACCGACAAAACATCCGCGCGACAATATTATATATTATTATTTTCTTCCGCCGTCCGCGCTTTTCGCATCGTACCGCGGAAACGCCGAAAAAGTCGGTCGAAAATCCGAATTCCGGATTCGCGCGGACCGCGCGAACTCGAAATCCGACCGCCCCGCCGTGACGGGGTTTCGACACGGTACCAAACACAAAAGTCCGAACCCGGAGCACCGTTGATGTTCAAGCCCTTAGTCCTCGATCGGCGAACCGATCGGACGAGAAAAAAAAAATTCGTTTATTCGCTTTTTTCCAAACGAAAACGGCACACCGACCGCTGTTATACGATTTCGGATTTTCGGTGCAGCGCGTCGAATTAAAATGCGCGCAACGTGCTCGTGTTATGTTAGTTAAATTAACAACTATGTAAATAGTTTAATAATAACTTATGTATTATAATTCGGTAATTCTGCGTTATTTTTCCTTAGGGGACGCACCGTACCGACACCAGAAATACCTTTAAAATGTATTACGAAATGCCGTATCGACCGTAACACGGTCGAATATTACGGAGAATCGCGGTATGTACAGTGGAAATATTGCTTATTTTATGTTAGTAAACTAATTTTCACAACGCGTCCCGTGACGTACGAGACTACTATACTTTTACGCGCGTAAAATTCGGCGTCTCTTTAAAAATGAAAAAAAAAAAATTAATAATAAATCGAGTTTAACAAAACCGACACGTTTCGCGCTGTGTTCAGGATCTTAAAAAAAAAAAAACAAAACCACGTCTACGACTAATAATAATTGGCCCAGGGGTTGAGGGAAACACGGTGAAAAACAGATAAATCGGAAAACCAATTTTCCCGACAATATTCGGAGCCGTGTTGAGGACGCAGCGCCGTTGCGTCGACGGGAAGGCTGGTGGACTACGCGGGTTTTAAGCGTAACTGCCGTTCTAACTAAAAAAAAAAAAAAAAAAAAAAAAAAAAAAACAAAACGAAACGTTCGTTTTATTTATACCGATCACAATCCCGCGCGGAATAATATAAGCGACCGCGTACCGACCGATTCCCAATTCCTAATTTGTACGCGCGTTATTTTTTTTTATTCTCGAGTCCGGTAAATAACGTCGTGCGTGCCCGCCCGTACGCTGCGTGATACTTCACTAAAACCCGGTACGNGAAACGTTCGTTCGTTTTATTTATACCGATCACAATCCCGCGCGGAATAAATAATATAAGCGACCGCGTACCGACCGATTCCCAATTCCTAATTTGTACGCGCGTTATTTTTTTATTTTCGGGTCCGGTAAATAACGTCGTGCGTGCCCACCCGTACGCTGCGTGATACTTCACTAAAACCCGGTACGGGCGTCGGAAAATACTGTAAAACGATTAACCACCGTCCCGCCAACCGCCGACCGCCAATCCCGCGGAAACTGGTCCCGTACACACGTGCTGTTGCGTGTCTATTATAAAACCGTCGTCCCGTCTGCCGGCCGCGGCGTCGGGGTCCCACGGCGGCAATCCGTCCGCGTACGTGTTCGGAAAAACCGGAACCGCCGCCGGCCGCGGGACCGCGTTTGAAAAATTTCTCGGCGCAGGTACGCGCGGCGGCGGCGGCGGCGGCCGTGCCGGCGGTCGTTAATCCCGTTTGAATTATATACTCCGGGCCCGTTGTTCGGCGATCGCACATAAATTAGTCGGCCGTTCTTCGCCGTGTCCGTCTACCTCGGTCCCCTCCCCCCAGCACCAGCCCGCCGACGGTCCCGTCCCACTCGCGCCGTCCCCTTGGACACCCGCCCCCTCCGCGAAAACCCGCGGGCAGCGGATCGTCTGGCCGCGTAACCGAAAACACCGCAGCCGCTGCACCGCGGCCGTGTTGCGACGACGAAACGTCCGGAGCAATTAATAACGTCTGAAACCGAAATAATAATAATCATGACGATCATAATACATCCAGAGCGCGGCAGATTGAATCGGCCGCGATTATTAATGAGCCTGGGAATAAAAATAATAAAAATCACTCGGTATTTATATTATTATACACTCTGCCGGTACGGGCCGGGCCGCGGGGAGGGGGTCTTAAAGTTGAGCGGGGTTTTTTTTTTTTTTTTTTCTTTTTTTTTTCCAAGGGAAAGCGGCGAAAAAGATTCCACCGCCGCCGTCGTCATAATCCCCCGTTAAGCACTCGGCGAAACTGCCGGTGGCAATCTAAATGAATGACAAGATTTATGGGTGTTGTGGAACGGTCGGTGGGGCACGCGGGTGTGGGAGGAAGGGGTACGGGTATTTCATTATTAAACCATCTGGGCATTCGGGGTTTTACTTTTTTTTTTTTTTTTTTTTTAAAAAA